CTGTTGCCCCTATACCAGGGGCAACTTTAATAAAAATAATTAAAATAATTACAACTTTACAAAAAGAGAGAAGTTGCCGATCTTGCCCCTATACCCGGGGCAACTTCGTCAATTTCTCTCTTCTTGTAAAGTTGTAATTATTTTAATTATTTTTATTTCCAAACTGATTTTAACCAGTTCTATAGTAAGGTAACATTCCAATAGACAATATGCAAAGCTTTTTTTTCAGTTTACAGCAGTATTTATTACACAAAATTTAAGTAAAGCTTAACATGTCGATCTTGCCCCGGTCTCCCCTATTTACAACTTCAACTATGAGCCATTTATTTTTATCATTTTTCTTAACAAGCCACCTTCCCTGAATATATTTATTTATCAATCAACACAGACAACAAGTGCTTCCTCCCGTACAACAAAAATTTAAAACAATTTTGATTTCTCTACATTAATTTTAAACTCTTTATTCAAACAACGTTTGTAAAAGAAATGATTTTTACTCTGTAAGTTTATTTTTATTTCATTCATTAACAAACATACGAGTATTTTATAAAACAAATACAGTATAATATAAAGAAAGACTATTTATCAAATTACTTCTAATTTAAGGCATAATTATTAAATATAATATACAGGTAACCCCCGTATAACACGGCACTTCTATAGCACGGATTCACGCTAACACGGTTCGAGAATTGGTACCATCCCCCGTATAACACGGTACTTTTATAGCACGGATTCACTCTGACACGGTTCGAGAAATGGGTAAAACCCTCGTACAACAGGAAATGTAATAAATTTTTACATACTTAAGTACTAATAGTTCACGAAAATTATTATTTTCGTGAAATATTAGTACTTAAGTATGTAAATTTTCTTTTCTCGTCTCCATACCCATGGTCCTTCGCGAAAATTGTTTCAATTTTGCCATATCTCGACGCTTCTGCTTCTGGTGTTGTCAGATGTTTTTCCGTTATTCCATAAGTGCTTAGCACCATATAAAAAAAATTATAAAGATCTTTTAACTAGAAGCAAGCAATCTAAAATTACATACACTTGTTGCAAAAGGTAAAGCATGAATCTGAAAATAATGCAGAAAAATGCTCAGAGGATAACGATAACTTGCCAAAAATAAAACGCTCTCGGTTAATTAATAGTGCTTTTGGTGATGACAAAGAAAACATTGTTTAATTTATATTAATATGTATCACTTAAGAAAANACGTAAGTCCGCAAATCGTAGAATAGTTCTATCGAGGATGGACGAGAGGCAGGTAATCCACACACACACACACACAGTACAGAACAATAACTTTTTCCCCCTGTGTCGTCATCGCACTTGTCTTTTATATGGTGGCTCTTTTTTCGAGATTTCCCCATGTACGTCACAGGTGATGATCTTCTTTGACCAATGATGGGCGAAGTGACAAACTTATGACACAACAGTTAACTCATCTTCTACAGGGAAGTATTGTGGTGGGAAAGGAGTTTTTATGAGCGATTTTTATGAGAAAATTTGTCGGTTGTTTTTTCCTTTTTGAGTTAACCCTAACTTTAATCTAATGAATAAAAATATTCGAATTTTAAATCCGGGCAATCACACAAAGATACAAGAACTCTTAGTGCACAGACAAATTCTAAACATGGAGGGCACATGCCAAAGGGATAGTGGTGAACGTTTTTCCCTTTGTTGTAAGGCATTCAAGTAATTTCTCAGTGCTATTTGACACTTCATACTCACAATATACTCCTGCAATCTTTGTTTGCATGTGGAGTGTTTGACCAGCACCATGTTCTTGGATTTATCAATCCTCATAACAACCACATTGGCTAAAATGAACAACATAAACCTTGTCTGTAAATGTAATCTGATGGTTTTTGGAATTCTATGTGACAACAAGGATCCATAGCTATAGTAACTCTTCATATGTAGTAACTCTTCATATAGTAACTCTTCAAGAATAGCTATAGTAACTCTTCATATGTTTATGCCATTCCAAGTAAGGACAAGCATTTTATCAAATTGTGTTGAAGCACTGGTCCTCACTTGATATGTGGGAGCTACCAGACACACTCTACCACAAAGAATTAATGAACACAAATATGCCATTGAAAAAAATCTCAATTCACTTGTACCTTGCATCCATAAAAGACTGCTCATCACTGATTTTGATGTTTGCTAAGCAATGTGGGATACTAATGCTGAAAACAGATGTTTTACAAAATATGATACAAACTATGATATGTCAGATAATGTATCTTCATTTCATTTTTTCCCCTCTTTATCACTACTAAGCATAATAAAACAAGAATGTTTTTTCTGTTGTAGAATAATAAACCTTGTAAAACTTTGGTTCATTTCTGTCAAAAGAGCAGCATTCAAAAATCAAATCCTTTGACTAGTGCTTTTTACTTTTGCTAGGCATTATTTAGGATTGAACTTTACATCAAAGAAATTATTCCAATGGTTCTCAAGAACAAAGGTTAGTAATGCATACATGGAACAATATATAAATGATTAAATAAAAACCAAAATAATCTTACAAAAACCTGAAAAGTAGTGAGCTGCAAATTTTAAAGTCACAGTTTTTAATGGTCTGAAAGAAGCACAAATTCAATAGCACAGAACCTAACAGGGATTTCCCAACAAAATAAAATATTTACATTTCCCAATAATTTTTTTGAATAACTATTAACTAGTCAATAATGACAATTCAAAAAAAAGAATGGAAATATCAAAAATTTATAGCCTACATATTTAGTAGCAGGATTTTTCCTAATACTTTCAAAAATACTATCACACAAGGTTTGTTGCAATTTGCTATCAGAGTTAGTAACAATGTATTATATAAGTACTGTGCTATGCAAGGATTGCTGCAATTTTCTATGTTAGTGCAAAACTATGTGGTAGAAGTAATGTGTTATATTGGAGTTAACCTATATCTGAAGGACTCATTGCTTCCTCCCTCAAATTGAGAAAATAGAAATAATCCTAAATCTTTACTTAACTATAAATAAAGATCTAAGATATAAATTAAAGAATTTNTTAAAAATCATAGAAGAAATTTAAGTAATAATATTTTTTTTATCATATTTTAAATTTTCAGATATTACACCAGATGAATATAAATATTTAAATTTGAAAAACGAAGAATATAATTAAATGATGAAAAATTTCACATAAACATTGTTTTCTTGCATTTAAGTTATCAAATCTATAAACAATGGTCACTGACAGGAACAAAAAACTGATTGTTGTGTAGAGGTTGTTTTGTATGTATTTTTTGTTTAAAAAAAAAAAGGATGTTTAGATATGGCCATTATTGGAGGTTCGACTATATAATGGAAGTTTCTTCATTTGAATATACATTCGTTTTTTTCAGTTTAAAGTAAAAAAAATAAATATGATATTTTGGCAATATAAATAACTTGCAACATATGTTTAATTCAACAAATTAAACATGATCACATTTATGTTTGTTATGCCTCTTTACTACTTGTTTTAACGTTAAAATCAAAAACCTATAGTCGAAAATGTGTTATGAAAATATACTTTTTTTAGTAAACATTGGTAATTTACTGTTTACTAGAAAAGCACCATAAATAAAGTACAGTCAACAAAACCTTTAACATCCAGTAACAAAATTACAGTTTTACTTTAATTTTCAGTAACTGGATGTTAAAGGTTTTGTTTGCTGTGCTTTGTAGTTTATTCCATCAGTTATTGAGAAGAAGGTAATTTGTACTGTAAGCAACACATTAGATATGTGTATTTCCTTAAACTCAGTTTATGGGATCTATTGTATAAAATAAATCAATTTATAAAAGTTTTGTTTTAGTTGCTCTCTTTTATCATTCCCAAATATATTGTATAAATTTACAGAACGTTATATTACCAAATCTTAATTTCTGCATCAGAAAATGCATTAAGCTCAATGAGTTAACAAATAGATATACAAGGCAAATTTTGTCATTAAAATGGAATGTATAAACATTAAATTTATTACTATAAGATAATTTTATTGCACTGTTACAAGCAGAAGGTAATGAATGGGTAAATCACCCGGAATAATTGATTTTCTATAATTCTCAAATAGAGATTCAAGATATATTTATAAATTATCAATTCCAAAATCTCATTTAACAGTAGTCCAAAGTGGTCTTCCTTATAGAATGGTGGAATGCCATTGATGAGAATTTAAAAGGTGCCAAGTTATCCTATGTTTAAGAGTACTATTAACATATAATATGATGCTGATTTGCTGTTAACTAATGTGCCATGTGATTTTATGTATATTTCTTTCTAATTTTGTTCATTTTGTAGGGAGAACTATGAAAAAGGAAACTTGCTCTCTCTTTTTAGTATTAATGTTTAATTATCTAAAAACATTGTAATTTGAATAATGTTTAATATTAATACCTAATAAAATAAATATTATTATTATTATTGTGTTCTACCCAGTGAAATAATAATAATTATTATAAATTCAAAACAAAACATGAGAAAAGTTATGGAGAATTTTCTATAAAAAGTAAACATTTGTTTTTTGTTTTTTATTTATTTGAATTTTGTGATTACTTTTTAGTATAATTTAATATATGGTAGGTAATTTTTGCATGTTTTTATAATATACAGGTAATGTGAATTTTGTTCAATTATTTCTTTATTATTTTTCAAGTTGCACAATTCTTTTTTAAAACTGCATATTTTAAGTATTTGAGTCCATTTTTATTACAAATATTAAATTTTGTTTATCAAATATTTTTCAGATTCCCTGAAAAGAAGTATTGTAGACACACTTCTTCAAATGCATATGGATCCAAAAGGTGCTAAAATATTATCAGGATTTCGGGTGAGAAGATTTGCAAAAATATCTCAAGATGATTTTTCTAATGAACAGGATCTTATTGAAAACACTCAAAATCTTAGTTTTACAACTGTATACTATTAAATTTGAAATCTGTTGAAATTAAAGAATATAAATTTATAATCTAAAATATTTACTTAAATGTTTTAAAATGGAAAAATATATTGATTATGGAATTATTTTGTGTAATCTTAAATGAATAAATTTTATTTAATATATATTTCGTTTAAAAAAATGTTTTTTTTTCCCCCATTAGTTTACTGTTTATTCAAATATTTATCCAATCTTGATTGCCTTAGCATAATTTTGTTGCTAAATTGCGCTCATTAACGTTTGTGAATTTCATATGTCTGTTTCATACTGCGGTAATGCAAAATAAAAATCTGCCGTGTAACCATCTGGTAATGTATCCTTCTTGCCGTAAGAGATTGGATTCGAATTCGATTTGGATCCTTGACACAGTATGAGACCAGTGGAGTTTTTCTCCCATTTCCCGCTCATTCTAGCTAATTCTGATTTGACGTTTTCACTCTAACATCAATGCATCTAGAATAGGACCAGAGGTCTGAGCCCTATTAATTAAGAACGTTTAAAAATTGATAGATAGTATTAAAATAATTGGACATATTTGTTATTCTCCTGGTAACCGTAGGTATCAATAGAAAATCAATTAAACCAGATTATATTAATATAATCCAGAAATTGAAGTTTACTCTGGCTCTCGTTATTTCAGAATTACTAAAGAGAAAATGAAAACTTGACTTTTCTATGAAAATAATGCAAGATTCAGATATCACGATTACAAATTAAGTGTATGATTTCATTAATGGTATTATTTAATAGTTAAATTTTTTGACGGGTGAAACAATGTAGAATATCGTTAAAGCCTTGATATAAATATTATTTGCTATAAGCTAACAGGAAATATACAGTATTTTTATTTTAAATGGTAAGTTTAGATATACGTTACACGAATTAAATTATTTCTTCTATTTTTTAAACTTAATTAATTAGTATATGTATTTATATGTGAAATATTCAATAAATTCCTATTAATATTCAATTTAATGTATTAAAATTCTATGCAGTCTGTATGTATGTATATACGTACACCAAACAAAAAGAAAATTCTGGATGAGTAAATAGTCGAACAAGATCTCCTGCTACACAGACATTTGATTAACGAAAGAAAAAAACAACAAATGATACTATACGATTTCATCGCAAAAAAATCAAGAATTTCAGAAGAGCCAGGACCGTCATTACAAAAATGAACTTTATATTTATGTGTGCATAGTTCTGTGTTATATAACATATATTATTATGCAAATTAATATAAAAATATCTTAAAATTAAAGTAAAATCTGTTTATTTTTGGTCGCGTTTTCCCCTTTCCCCATTTACTTTGTGTTAAAATGATTTCGTTTAACGCTGTTTCGTTTAGAGCTTTGTCGTCTGGGAACGCATAAACGAGGTCTTACTGTACCTCATCTGAATTATTATATTGTCAACCCACAGAAATTCTGTAAGTTTATTGTATTTCTAAAAGCATCAAACTTATTTTGAATTAAACATCTATTCGTAATATTAAATTATTGCTAGAAAATCAAATGTATTTAAGATGGAGAGTAATCATAATTAGGCAAGTGATTTTTTGAGGAATTCGGCAATGTGAGGACGCAAATACTTATTATTCGTCTGAAAAATATAGAAAAATATTTTCAAACTATCTGCTTCGGTAAGAAAATTTTCTGATCTTCATTTTCAATATCGTATTGCTGATAGGAATTAATTTTGCTATGAATTATTGAATATGATCGAACGTCGATTTAGCACCATCCTTTGAAACTGTACTAAATTTAGTGTGATACTTAACTAATGAACAACAAACAAAGTAATAAAAACGACATAAGTTTGGATTTGAAAGTCACTTGATGTAGTAATAATGCCGTTTATGGACATACGAATTTAGGAAGCCCTCCGAAATTCAGGCAAAACAGAGGTGAAAATTCGAGTAAAGGAAGAACAAAAATCGGACCTAGAAAGCAAAAAAAAAAGGTTAACAAATTATCAGTGACGGCAAATAAAAATTGGCTTGCGTTTTTATTTGTGGGCAAATCATCCTTTTCTGCCCTTAATAATCAGTGTCCCTATAGGCCATGATGTCGTTTGCAATGCAAAATCGTATACTGTATTTCGTAACTCGGACATTAAAAAACTTTCTTTAATATTTATAAGAAAAAGTATACGTATTTAAAAGTGTTAGAAACAGATTTTAAAAATTATCTTTTCTTTTCCATTTAAAATTTTTTCAGTGTAATATTAAAAACAAAATTTTTTTGAAACTGAATTTAAGACGAACTCCTAGTTTAAAAAAAGAATTTTCAGGTTAAAATGGGAAAATAATTAGAAATAAATATATAGTACTTTTAAAGAATTTATTGTCAAAAATGTTAATGATAAATTTAAAATATAATATAATTATCATAAGTACAAAATAAACAACAAATAACATAAAGTTTTCTTGACATATAGACTTAGTCACAAAGAATATCTCGAATTTAAGAAACACTTCAAATTTTAAGTATTCCTTCAAATATTAAATTCACAGATGTCTGAAAAAGTTTGTCTTAAAGTGATATGTTAGATTATAAACCTTTTCCTTTGTATCACATACAAAATTTATCATTTCCGAAATAAATTTTATTAATAGACTATACTCCATTTACATATTAAGATTTCACTTTTTTTTAAGTGAAATCTTATATTTTATAAATATTCAATTAAGCTTTATTAGGACAATCAGGAATTATCCCTTCATCCGGAATTGGTTGCATTTAATTTGGACACAGAAAAGTTAACAAATCATAGGATAAAAAAGCCGACAAAATTTCTTTCCTTGAGAAGAATCTATAGTTTTTTGACAATATCAGTTGATACAGTTCTACATTTTGAACGACGGAAACTGACTTTAAAAATCTGAACACAAACGCAAATCTATTTACATTAAAACATGGACATTGTACGATCAAATTTGCTATTGAAAAATTATCTTGATTACAGAATAAACAACTATTTTTGTTAAGTTATATATTATAATGTAATGTCTAGAAGAATTTTATTTAATCTTAGTTATTGAATAGTTTTAACCCACAATTTAAATTATAACATAAGAAAAAAAACACCGTGTTTCAACAGGTCTTGTATCAGGGATAAAATTTTGAAAGTTCAACATACTTTAGATATTATGGTATTGGCGGATTCTAATACTGTACTAAACAAGTACCAAGACCCGTAAAGATAATAATAAGTTTGTTAAATGGCTTGGTCAGGATTTAAATCCATAAACACACTGGAAATCTGACTAAGTTCAATCTAATAGTGTAACCCAGAAAGGAATGGTTTAAGTAGCAATTAGAAGAATCCTCTCTACTTTGTCTAGAAAATTTGTTCCTCATATTGAAGAGGCATATAAAATTTAACTTAAACAAAGATTTTAAAATAACTTTTAAAATATATGTTAACAAATCATAAGGTAAAAATGCCGAAAAACTATCTTTCCTTAGTAGGTCAGTAAAACAATCAATTAAACTGTATGCTAATTTGGTGGATTTTTTAGTCTATAGAACAGACTCAAAATATTTGTTAAATAAATCATTATAAAGAATAAATAATTCCAAGATATATTTAGGCTTAGCCTATATTTAGGGGAGACCGGGGCAACTTCGGCATGCGGGGCAAGTTTGTCAAGCGCTTTTTTTTAAAAACAAATTAAAAGGAGACTTTGGTTATAGGTTAGGCAGTTGAGTTTTATTGGTGGCTTGTTGAGTGTAGTGTTTTTATTGTTCTCCAACAAGCGTAGTTGAATTATCAAGCAAATTTTCATTTTCGTT